GTTTTGTGTTGTTTTGTTTTGTTTTGTTTTGTTTTGTTTTGTTTTGTTTTGTTTTGTTTTGTTTTGTTTTGTTTTGTTTTGTTTTGTTTTGTTTTGTTTTGTTTTGTTTTGTTTTGTTTTGTTTTGGTTTGGTTTGGTTTGGTTTGGGGTTGCTGTTTGGGGGTTGGAAGTTTGTCAGAGTTGCTTGGAGGGAACCAAACCAAGGCAAAAACACAGCAGCGCAGTCATCAGCAGCAAGACTGCCAGAACGGTGCGATGCTCAGCGGCACTTCAGGAAGCACACCCTCCCCCCCAAAAAACAGTGCGCCCCCACCGTTGAGGATGAGGTGGAACCGCTGGTCCCAGGGCTGCCCCTTTTCGGTGTAGGGCGACGCCGCCGACGTCACCCAGCTAACATCCAGGTTGGCCTCATGAAACGTCACGCCGTCCACCATCCACTTCATGGCCTTGGGCCGGCCCGTGGCCGGGTCTGCCGTCCACTCGAGGGCGTAGTCATGGAGTGCGGCGGACAGGTCCACTCCCGGCAGGGGGCGCGTGGGGCCAGAGCCGCGGTATACGTTGTTGGGCCACTGGCCGCCGTAGTGGAGGGTGCTGCGGGCGGCGGGTGGGCGGGTTGGGGTTTGGTCAAGCGGTGGTGGGTTTGAGTGAAGAGCGGGTGCATTGAAGGTGCGCAAAGGCCGGCGCGGTGTCCATTGGCCGCAAGGCTCGAGCGCGCTGCAGCTGCCACCGTGCGGGCGCACTCTGGGCCGGCACCCACCGGGGCTTGCGCGGTCTCACCCTTCGACCGTGTCGTTCAGGTGCGCGTGGCCGCGCGCCTCCATTATGTCAATCTCTCCGCTGGCCGCCCACTCGCCGTAGACCCTGGGAGGGGATTATTCAGTTTTGGCCCGTTTGGGTGGGGAAGCTCAGCCGGGGCTTGAGGCAGTTGGCGGGCGTGCTTGCGGCAACGCGCTCCCTTCACTCGTGGATCAGGCGGCTGCGCAAGCAAGGATGCGCGCTCAGTGCGAGCAGCCGGCGGCCGGCTGCCGGCCTCCTCCAAAGCACATGCGCCCCCAGTTTCCATTTGCGGGCTCACTCGTCAGTTGGAAGCATCCTGTGTGGGATTTTTTTGGGGCGACACAACGCGCGCTCAGTTGGCCGCAGGCGCGTGTGCCGTTTTTGCAGAGCAAACAGGTGCAGGGCAGGCAGTCCGGTTCCCCACTTTTGATACCCGCCAAAGCTCACCAGATCGCGGGCCACAAAAAGTCGCCCTTTGGCAGCTGCGCGCGCACTTCGATGCGGCCATCTGGGGAGAGCAGGGGTGCATAGCAGGGGTTGAGCGGTGTAGCACCGGCGGTGGCCACAGCAGCGCTTTAGGTCATGTCAAGCGCGGGCTCCCTCAAACCAACAAAGTGCTTCAAAGGTGAAGCGCGCAAGACAGCTGCAAAAAGTGCATCGATTTGAGCACGCGCACACACAGTAAGCGCAGATGCGCAAGCCATCCACGTGCGCGATGACTCACACTTCCAGCTGCCAATGGGCGACAGCTTGGTGCGCACGCGGCCAGAGGTGAAGGGGCGCGTCCAGGTGCAGGAGTTTTCTTTGGGGTTGGTGCAGCCCTGCGGAGTGGGCCGGGCGCGCCAGCGATCCCGTTTCAAAGCGGCGCCGGGTGTTTTGCGCACGCGCTGGCAAGCATTTGGAAATGAGCGCAGGCGCAAGCGAGTGCACTTTGGCTGTGTTGGCTTTTGTTCGCGCAGGCTTTTGCGCACATCGGTGCGCTTCCTGTGTTCCTGTGCTAACAGATGGAGTACAGAGTGCCCAGGCCCCAGCGCACCTCATCTGAGCCCTGGTAGGTGCCGCGCCGCGCCTCGAGGATGAGCCGCCCACCCGCCACGCGCACATTGTCTGGGCGGTCGGTGTAGCACTGGTTCTCGCCGTTGCCGCCGCCCCTGCAAGGGTTTTGGTTGAGCGTGGCGGGCGGGTCAAAGCGACTGCCTGATTGCCGGAGACAGCACGCGTTGCGCTGGCAACTGCAGCGGTGCATGTACCTGGCAGCAAAACACAGCCACTGCTGGCTCGCAGAGTGCACCGCGCACAGCTCTGCGCGCGCCCGGCAGGCCACGCGGCGCTCCCTCACCAGCAGTCGACCTCGACATCAAACAGCCCCCGGTTGAGGCTGTCCCCATCAAAGTTCTCCACCAGGATGGGCTCGCCCCAGTTGATGGGCGGCGGAGTGCCGGGCAGGGAGCCCGGTTCGCACTGGTCTGGGGGCAGGCCGTAGCGCGCGCACACGCACGCCGCGCACAGCGGCAGGTGCAGCTCCGTGGTGGCCTTGGCCAGGCGGCAGAAGCGGCAGCCGTTGTTGGAGCCCAGGCAGCCCAGCCCCCCGGCCCTGCAGCTGGGGGCGTATTCGAGGTAGGAAACGCCCACGCCGGGGT